CAAGCCAATATTATCCTGGAGATAAGAATTTATCCTACTTATTCATTTGGATGTCTTTAGTCTTATCTTAATCATCCAAATCTGCTTAGCTACATTACCATTTAGATGTCCTGTGATCAGGGATTCAAAACAGCAGCGAATGAACTTAAGCATAAAAAAAATCAGCTGCTCTTACAAAGGCTCACAAGTTGTGGGTTATTTTTAAGTAGTTAATATCGCAGCCATTATTAGAAATGTGCTAATGGATGTATCTGTAAATATTAAGCAGTAAATTAGAACCATGGAAAACTGCTCTTGACATTGAATCCTTGTGCCTGTCTTACTATAAATTCTAAAGCACACTATGTGGGCCAGCCACCGAGGCACAGTGAGTAAAGCCGTCGCCTACAGTACTGGTACTCCATACGGGCACTGAGTTCTGGCTGCTCCAGTTCCAGTCCAGCTTCCTGGTAACGGCCTGGGAATACAGCAGAGAATACTTGAAGTGCTTGGGGCCCTGCACCCATGTGGGAGACCTACAAGAAGCCCCTGGCTCCTGGCCTCAAACTAGTCCAACTTTGGCTGTTGCACACATTTGGAAGGCAAAGTAGTGGATAAAACATCTCTCCGTCTCTCCCTCCTTCTGCAACTCTGCCTTTCAAATAAAAAATAAATAAATCTTAAAAAAAAAAGAAAGAAAAAAGCATACCTACTAAATCTTCAACAAATTTGTAAAATGTGTTAACTTTTTGCAAACTCTGTCGCTCTGCTATGCCACAGACAACAGCAAGAACACGTGGTCAGCTGCTGGTGATACAGCACAAGAGAGCATTGTAAGGGTGCAAGGGAGGGTTCAGGAGCATCAGTATCTCGGTCTCACTTGCGGGCGGGGGGCAAGTGCCTCACTTCTCCACTGCCACTGGCACCTACACCAGTGACTCCATTCTGGATAAACCTGTCCTCACTTACAACAGTTTTGAAAATTCAGATTTTGATCAAGAGCAGGTTGAATGTGCAGTTAGCTTTAAACTTCCTATATAAATCCTATTAAAATGAAGAAATTAAAAAGGCATTAACCCACAAGAACCAGAGAGAAGGCAACAGCTAATAAGAGGTGCTGACAACATGTTAGAAAAGAAAATGGATATACAAAAAGCTGCCAGCAGGCCTGGTGCAATGAATGGTTTAATGGCTACATCCATCTTGCAAGCACCAGGATGTCATATGGGTACTGGCTCATGTCCCAGTTCCTTCACTTCCCACCTCCATACTTATGGCCTGGGAGAACAGTAGAGGATGGCCCAAGTGTTTGGGACTCCATATCCACGCGAGAGACCCAGAATAACCTCCTGACCCCTGGCTCCAGATAACTAAGCTCTGGCTGTTGTGGCCACCTGGTAAGTGAACCAGCCAGTGGAAGATCTTTCTCCCCATCTCTCCTCTCTCTGTAAATCTGATTTGCCATTCCAATAAAAACAAATAAATCTTTGTTAAAATAAAAAAAGCTGCCAGTACTCAGCGGGTCAGAGCGAGCAGAGACCTCAGCATCTGTGCCATGAGGCCTTTCAAAAGCCAGGACATCGCCACATCCTGAAGTGTGACAGGAGTCTGAGTGTGTTTCACTCCCCAGACTGGGCAGGGCACAAGGAACAGAAGCATGCTTGCTTCAGGGTTATGGAGGAGGAAGCATAGCACTGAGGGGCCACATCTGGTGAGGGGCCACTTGCTGCGTCACGGTACAATGGAAGGAGCAACAAGGTAAGAGGAAGGCGAGACAAGGAAACAAAGGCGACTACGTTTATCTTTCTCAGGCAAAACTCCACCCACTTCTGTGGCAATGAAGCAACTCCCCAAATAACAGCAGGGCAGAATCCCCACAATCTAATCACCCCGTAAAGTTCTCATCTCCCAATACTCTGCTAGTGAGAATAACACATGAACTCCAGGGAATACACTCACACCTTGGAACCAGGAACTTGGAACTAGGAACAAAAGCTTGAATGTCTGTGTAAGAGATCCCAGGAGCTCAATAGCCATATCCTTATCCACATCGTGAGGGCATGACCCCTCAGGTATAACACAAGTGGCTTGGTCCAGCAGGCCTAGTGGGGGCAGGGGGAGAAGCACACAGAAGCTGGAGAGCTGCTTGGATATCTATCCTCTGGCGCTAGTCCTGTAACCCACTGTGTGCAGAAGCTGGAAAATCATTGGCTCTCACAAGTTTCACAAGATGTGACCTATTTTTAAGGAGTTAACACCACAGATGTTATTAGAAATGTTTTTCATTTTTCTCAAAATTTTGTTCACTTGAAAGGCAGGGTGAAGATGAGCTTGGTGCGATGGCACAGGGGCTAAATCTTTACCTTGCAAGCACTGGATCCTCAAGGGATCCCATGTGGATGCCAGTCTGGGCCCTAGCTACTTCACTTCCCTTCCAGCTCTCTGCTCATGGCCTGGGAAAGCAGTCGAGGGTGGCCCAAAGCCTTGGGTCCCTGCACTCGAGTGGGAGACCCGGAAGTGGCTCCTGGCTCTCTATCAGCTTAGCTCCCACTGCTGTGGCTCCCTGGGGGGTGAACCAGAGGACAGAATCTCTTTCTGTAAACCTACCTTCCTAAGAAAATAAGTAAGTCTTAAAAGAAAAAAAAAAAAAAGGCAGGGTGATGGACAGAGGAGAGACAGGTAGGTGGACAGGGTTATTTCCCATCACTGGTTCATTCTCTAATGCTTGCAAGTGCCAGGCCTGGACCAGGCTGATGGCAGGAGCCCGGAACTGCAGCAGAGTCTTCCACATGGGCAAAGTCTCCCACCCATCTTCTGCTGCTTTCCCATGAACTAAGTAGGGAGCGGAATCAGAAGCAGGGCTGCCAGGACTCAAACTGGCATTCATATGGGGTGCAAGCCCTAAGCAGCAGCTTATCCTACTGTGCCACAGTGCTGGCCCCAAACAAGGACTATCCTAACTATGTTTGTTCCATTAAGCCTACAGTATGACATAATTCGCTGATCACATTCGTCTAACTGAACTCTAAAAAGAGCCATGGAAATGGTAGGGCATTTAATAAATCCCTCAACTGTGAAACAAATGTTCAATTCCCCAATATTCAAGTCAACTTTGTTAAAGTAAGTTTCAGTAAACCTCATGAACAACTTGGTATGATGAAATGAGACTTTTTGTAGTTTCTGGGGCAAGAAGTTAAGACATGTTAACTGAGTGGTCTAGCAAGTAGCTGCATTTGATTAATTGTAGTAATAGAATCCTCTTCATGTCATTACCTATACAATACGCATTCAACTGTATACCTATAAAAGAAAAAGTATGAGAAAAAGAAACCATTATATAATGAAGCTATTCCATAACACAAAGGTAAGGTTTTGCTATGGACAACTTGCTTGGACAGCTTGGATTTTTAAACATGCAACAATTGCTTATGTTATAAACTAAATATTCAAAGGCTGAACAACTGTGTGGTTCAGAAAAAAACAACAGAATCCACAAATAAGGTATACCATCATTATAAATCTGGAGAACCTCACTAAGCATTAATTCTGAACATCATACCCATTAAAACTCTGAACTACAGAGACCAGCTTTGTGGTATAGTGGGTAAAGAGTCACCTGCAAATGTGGCATCTTATACTGAAGCACTGGTTCATATCCCTGCAGCTCTAATGTACTGGTAACAGTAGCAGAAGATGGCCAAGAGATGGAGGGCCCGTCACCCAATGTGGAAGATCAGATGGAATTCCAAGCTCCTGGCATCAGTCTGAACCAACAACAGCCACTGTAGCCATTTGGGGAGTGAACCAGCAAATGGAAGACCTCTCTGTTTCTCTCTAATACCCTTTCAGATAAATGACTTAGTCCTTAAGAAACAAACAAATAGGGCCTGGTGGCATGGCCTAGCGGCTAAGGTCCTCGCCTTGAACCCGCCAGGATCCCATATGGGCACCGGTTCTAATCCTGGCGGCCCCTCTTCCCATCCAGCTCCCTGCTTGTGGCCTGAGAAAGCAGTCAAGGACAGCCCAAAGCCTTGGGACCCTGCACCCGTGTGGGATACCGGAAGAAGTTTCTGGATCCTGGTTTCGGATCAGCATAGCATCAGCCATTGCGCTCACTTGGGGAGTGAATCATCGGATGGAAGACCTTCCTCTCTGTCTCTCCTCCTCTCTGTATATCTGACTTTCCAATAAATAAATAAATCTTATAAAAAAACAAAACAACATTTGGGTCCCTGCCACCACCCATGTTGGAGACAACAATACAGCACCTGGTTTTTTGGCTTTGGCCTGGAAAATTGGTCATTACTAACATCTGGGGAGTTAACCAGCAGATGGAAGATTTCTCTTTCTCTGTCTTTTCCTGTTTCTCTGAATCTCTGCCTTTCAAAATAAAGTAATACATTTATTTATTTTTTTAAAAAGTGCATGGAACGGTAGACATTATGTCACCAAAGGTTAAGCACTTGCAACATCATATTCCACATCAGAGCACCAACCTGAGTCCCATTTACCTGCTTCTGCTACAGCTCCCTGCTCAAGTGTCTGGAAAGCAGCAAGTAATGGTTCAAGTACTTGAGTTCCTACCAGCTAAGAGTGAGACACAGAGATCCCAGCCTGTCTTCAGCCTGACCCGGTCCAACTGCTGCAGTCATTCAGGAAGTAAACCAGCAGAAGACGCCCCCTCTTCTCTCTTTCTTTGTTACTCTACCTTTCATGCAAATACATCTTCTTTGAAAAGTTCGTGGAGAAAGTGATTAAAAGTTTATTTTAGTGCAAAATGCTAATATGTATGCACATTTTTCATAAAACGCATTTCCCATGAACATTCTGAAGACCCCATATTTATACAACAGAATCCTCTGGATAAAATACATTGAGTACTTGGGCTATTCCTTACTCATTGAGGCATTTACCAGTGAGTACTATGGGCCCTGCTTTAAGGACTGTCACCATCCCTCACAGCCAAGTTCATCGTTTCATTCACTCCAAACCGTCACCTCCACAAGCCCTGGGGCACAGACCTTCTCCTTCAGTCACATCAGAGCGCTCCAACTTGGATTCCTTATGTTGTCCTTCTGCTACCTTCACAGCGACAGCTCGGCAAATAGCACCAAACTTTCTGTCCAGAGAACGGACTCCTGCCTCTCTGGTATACCTGTCGTCAGAGAAAAACAGTTCACGTTTGACTAACCACCACCCATAAAAGCATAGATGTAATGTCATTAGTCTTTTTTTTTTTTACTAACTTAACAGTATACATTAACAAATGCATTATCCTTTTCGAGTACTAACTTCACATTTAAAATGCCTCCTGAAGGAATTCTTATCTCCCAGTCAGTGTCTTTTTAGCCACATTATTTCCTTTACAGATTACTTTGAACTACTACCCTATATCTAAAAACAAGTCTCCAATTTACACATGAATAATGCCAAATTAGGTAGCACATAAAGCATGATTTATTCCCTTATGAAATGTGTAATTTTTCTTACATAAAATTTGTTGATTCATGAAAGTTCTGAGTAAATTTATTACTGTTGAAATATTACTGAAAGAACTGAAAACCGTATTTGTTCAACTATAGCAAAAAGTGAGACACAGATTAAATTTTTACTAGAACTGTGCCAACTCCCTCAGCGTAGTTTCATTGTGGAGATTTCCAAAGGAAGAAAGCATGATAACTGACTAAGCATTGTAATTATGTGAAAAAGACCACATGTGATTAGACAAAGCTACTTAAAAAATTTACATATCAGATAAAAGCTACAGGTAATTCCACAAACCAGTATAGTGTGTAGCTACTTTGGTCTTTCAATTTAGGGTGGATTTGAATAGGCAAAACCAGACCAAGAATGCAGTTTGATTTGGAAAACTGTATTTGATCAGGCCCTTAGGCACATATTTTGACTCAGGAAAGCATATTTTAAAAGTCCTACAAGAAGGCAGATAAAAACACTTGGTTAAACACACAAAAGTAAAAATTAACCCAGGGTAGCGAACTATATAGTCCATATTATACAGCTGCATGTAATTCCAATAAGGAAGAAAACAAGAAAGCATAAAAAAAAATCAAAAACAAAAACAAAAAGATAAACCAGGGTGGACATTTGGCTCAACAGCTAAGATTCCAACTGGAGCACCTGCATCCCACAGTGTGGGATGGTTGAAGCCCCGGCTCTGCTCCTGACTCCAGCGCCCTGTGTGCCAGGAGGGGCAGCAGGCGATGACTCACGTGTTGGCTCCCTGTCACTCACGTGGCAGACCCGGCTCTTGGCACGGAAGGCATAAACTGACAGATGCGAGGACTTCTCTCTCTACCGTCCCTCTCCCAGCCCCCACCCTTCTTCCATCTCAAGTTTAAAAACGAAAAACACACTCCAATGCATACAAATAAAACAATGTCACCTCCCAGATCGGCTCAGTCTGAACAAAAGGCGAAAGGCAGCAAAGGGACTGAGGGGGCTTTTGAAGGAAAGGCATAAACACCCAAAGACAGAACCAAGTTCAGAACGATTCGGAGCTTGCCAAAGATAATAGCAAAAAATAGTTTCCTACATATTTAGAACAGTAATGGGCTAGGCACTAATGTAGATGTCATTATCAAAAGACACCCCCAAAAGCAGCATACCAAGCTCTACTTAACATCACTTTGAAACTAAAACAAACAAACAAACAGAATTATCAGAGTAAAATAAGAATTTGGCATTTCTCACAATGACTTGAATATAACAATGCTACACAGGCCAACTTTCCGAGGGTATAAAATTAATGTCTTTGATGATAAGATTATAAAATGATCAACTTGCTGCAATGGTGGTTGAAGCTAATAACATGCAGATAACTATAAATTTCCACATTTCAGCATTTAAAAATTCAGTTCTCTCTCTTTCCGCTCGGCAGCCGACATGCCATCCAGACTGAGGAAGACGCGGAAACTGCGCGGCCACGTGAGCCATGGCCACGGCCGCATCGGCAAGCACCAGAAGCACCCGGGAGGCCGTGGGAACGCTGGTGGCATGCATCACCACAGGATCAACTTCGACAAATATCACCCAGGTTACTTTGGGAAAGTTGGTATGAGGCATTACCACTTGAAGCGGAACCAGAGCTTCTGCCCAACTGTCAACCTGGATAAGCTGTGGATGCTGGTCAGTGAGCAGACCCAGGTGAATGCTGCCAAGAACAAGACGGGAGCAGCCTCCATCATCGACGTAGTGCGGTCAGGCTACTACAAAGTTCTGGGAAAAGGAAAGCTCCCAAAGCTCCCAGTCATTGTCAAGGCCAAATTCTTCAGTAGAAGAGCTGAGGAGAAGATTAAGGGTGTTGGGGGAGCCAGTGTCCTGGTGGCTTGAGGCCACCGTTCATTAAAGTGCTTCTCTGCTGGTCTGATGCGCTTTTTTTCACTTCTCTGCCAGAAACCCGTCTTGCTGGGTTACTCCCAGTGGTTATAGCAGCCATATCTATCCCAGGCTTAGGTTAAGCCAGAGCTCAATGCTAGTCACTGTCACCTTGCAGAGTGAGCCCTAGCGGGAAGCACCACAGAAAATCCTCGTGTTAGAACTGCATCTGGTCTGATTGGGCTTAGTATTTCCTATTTTAATGACCATGTTAATGTTCAGCCAGTGCATGGGATTGCAACGCGGGTTTGCGCCTTTTTTTTAAAGGCTCTTAAGACTTGTAGTTTAGAATACTGGGCGAAAAGTTATTGTGATACTTGATATTGCTGGGTGTTGTATGTGGGCTGGGGAGCTTGGTTATGGGGTAAATTTGTCAAAGTTGTGTCTAAGAATAAGCAAAACTTCAAGGACCCAGGTGCATGATATTGTCCGAGTCACCTGGGTTTGTGTACCATTACAGTTGCCAATAAACCTGGGCTTTCTAAGAAAAAAAAAAAAATTCAGTTCTACAAATACAAAATGGATATGTTTAGTTAGCAGGAATTCACTTTGAGGCAAGAGAAAAAATCCAAAAAATGCTGAGATACAATCATAAAACAATAGTCAGAATAAGAAAAACAAGGCCTTGTGGTATCACAGGCTGTGTCTGAAGTGCAGCGTTCCCCTTGCATAAGCAGACTGACTGCATAGGACGCACTCAGAACAGGAGCAGCCAGGGAAGCGAAAGGCCTGAAACCAGGCCACGTCCACTGGTAAGGCAAATGGGGTGGACAGCCTGGGGCAAGCACTCACGGGCACAGACTGGCAGCTGAAAGATAGTACCAGGCAGAAATCCTACTTCAATCCCAGGGGCTCCTATCCAAGCCAGAAGTGGAAAATTACCAAAAAATGATGGTAAAGAATACCTTTCTAACAGTTCTCACTAAGAGGTTGTAAGCAGTAAGTGCCCCTGAGCTGCAGGATCTGAGGAGGGAGGCAAGCATGACTAGAATGATAAGGGCCTATGACTATGATACACCCCAAAGACGAAAAACTTAAATACTGGGGCTGCCATGGTGGACTAGTGGCTAAAGTCCTTGCCTCGCATGTGCCAGGATGCCATGTGTGTGCCAGTTCATATCCCAGATGCTCCACTTCCCATCCAGCTCCCTGCTTGTGACCTGGGAAAGCAGTCAAGGATGGCCCAAAGTCTTGAGACCCTGCACCTACACGGGAGACTTGGAAGAAGCTTCTGGCCCCTGGCTTTGGATCAGCTCAGCTCCAGCCGTGGTGACCATTTGGGGAATGAACCAGTGATTGGAATATCTTTCTCTTTGTCTCTCTTTCAGTGTATTTGCCTTTCCAATAAAAATAAATAAATGAAGAAGCTCCCGGTTCCTGGCTTCAGATCGGTTCAGCTCTGCCTGTCTTTGTGGCCATTTGGGGAGTGAACCAGCAGGTGGAAGATCTTTCTCTGTCTCTCCTTTTCTCTGTAAATCTGATCTACCTTTCTAATAAAAATAAATATTTTAAAAAGGTGACACTGGTATACCGTTTTGCAACTAGATGGTACCAAGTAGAGATTCAGTGAAATAAGTCAATCCCCAAAAGGACAAATACTGTATGTTCTCTCTGATACAAGGCAGCTTTTATGCAAATTTTAAGACCAATAACCCTTTCCACACTGTTTTTGCTGCATCCCTTGTGTTTTGATGTTTGTTTTTATTTTCATTTTGTCCAAATAGTTTCTTTTCTTTTGTCGAATTCATCGCTGGCTCATGCGTCGTGCAGTAGCATTATTTTATCCAAGAGGCTTTTACGTTTTATTTTTCATTTCATCACCCATGTGTTGGTTATTCAGTGGTGCATTTTTCAATTCCATAGTGCTGTAAAATTTTTAACTTCATACTTGTTGTTGATTTTGTTTTGTGGCTTCTCATTTAAGGGAATATATAGTGACAGCGTAACAGAGACTATCATATCCAGATGTGAAGATATAATGCAGTATGCATCTCTACTTCCAAATCAAAGATGGACTCCTAATGAGACTGCTGGACGTATCTAGACAATAGGGTGCTGGATTGTATGGCACTGCCTATACCACAAATGTCAGGACACACTTAAATAGCAAATTTTGATGGACTTATGACTGCTTATGAAAGACCATACTATTGTAATAATAATGGGGAAAATCAGTCGGGGTTGGGAACTTGGGGAGGGAGTAGGGAAATCCCAGACCCTATGGAATTGTGCCATAAAATTCAAAATTAAAAAAAAAAATAGTGGCCCTGGCACAGTGGCCTAGCAGCTAAAGTCCTCACCGTGAATATGCTGGGATCCCATATGGTCACCAGTTCTAATCCTGGCAGCTCCACTTCCCATCCAGCTCCCTGCTTGTGGCCTGGGAAAGCAGTCTAGGACGGCCCGAAGCCTTGGGACTCTGTACCCGTGCAGGAGACCTGGAGGAGGTTCCTGGCTCCTGGCTTTGGATCGGCATAGCACTGGCTGTTGCGGTCACTTGGGGAGTGAATCATCAGATGGATGATCTTCCTCTCTGTCTCTCCTCTCTGTATATCTAACTTTCCAATAAAAATAAATAAATCTTTAAAAATATAGTGACACTGGGAGCTATCAAGTTTATAAAACAGAGCTCTTTCTTCAGGTAGTAATTAGGGAGCACAGATAATAAGCACCCCGACTTCTTACTCAGATTCAGATAAGGCAGGGATTTTTCCTTACACTTTACAAATAGGGCAGTTATTCACTGTTCAGTGACTTGTTCAAAGTGACCCAAAGACATCCCGAGTGTTATCTGGAACTGCTGATACTGTTGGAAGACTCGCATATAAATCACCTGATTTATTTCCCTTGGCAATAGTTACAGTGTGCATCACAAAACAAGCCAAGGAAAGGCACTCTGAGGCCACACGGGGTCTGTCTTCTTGGTATGCAAATTTTCTTTTACAAGATTTATTCTTATTTGAAAGGAAGACTTACAGAGAGGAGAGAGAGAAAGACAGAGAAAGAGAAATCTTTCATCTGCTGGTTCAATACCCAAATGACTGCAACAGCCATCTGAGCCGACCGGAAGCCAGGAGCCTCCTCCGGGTCCCCCAACAAGGGTACAGGGAGGACTTGAACCATCTTTTACTGTTTCCCCACATGTCACAGACAGGGTTCTGGATCAGAGGTGAAGCAGCCAGGACTAGACCTGGTATCCTTTTTGAGAATGCTGGCGCTGCAGGCATTGGATTAGCTTGCTATGCCACTGCACTAGCCCCCTTGTAATACACATTCCAACGGACTCGCGAGAAGGCTGGCAGACATCTCTAGGCAGTCTGGCCAGTTTGAGTCTTGACGTTTTTGGAGAGAGCCGTTACCAGAGAAGGGCTGCACGAGGAGTGCTGGACACCTGGCACACTTGCTGGGTGATGCAACAGCTCTGCAACAGAGGCAGGAAAATAGCACCGTGCCCGGGCAGACAGGCATTCTCAGCAGGCAATCAATAAAGTGGGCTAGGCAACATTCTCCTCAGATAATTTATGCACTGTTTGACTCAGGCTTAAGTACTTGGTAGCAAACTTGGGGAAACACATTCTCTATTATTCCAGGGTTAAATCTGAGCCAAAACTCTAAAGGAGTTTTAAAGATCTCTCAGAAAAGAAAATCCAAATAACCTAAAACAGATGTCTCAAACTATCATTTTAGGTCTTAAGGGAACTCAACAGCTTTCAGTGTATTTGGGGCAAAGTAGAAATTCTGGGGGTGGCTGTTTGGTGTTAAGATGCCATTCGAGCTGCCCGCACTCCACAGTAGATTGCCTCGCTTCAAGTCCAGACTCCACTTCGGCTTCCAGCCCCCTGATGATGCATACCCTGGTAGTGGCAGGTAGTTGAGTCCTTGCAACCTACATCAAGCTCCCGACTAACTGAGGAGGAATTCTTGTATCTATCAATCCTTCAAACAAAATAATTTCTAAAAAGTACTCCCCACCCCCCCCAAAAAAGGCCAAAAATGAAAAAAACAATTTCTAGCTCAAAAAAGGTGCTTGACTTTGAAGAAGTTCTAAACGCTGTATGGATTCCTGCCTAGTTGAGAGCTCACGTGAATCAACAGATATGGGACAGGGAGACGGGAATGCTGGTGACGCCAATAAAATAAATCTCGTTTTCACACTCCAACATGAACGAAGCCTCAGCTGGCTGACTGACCTGGTGATGATGTCAAGAGTGGTGACCTGAGGGATCTGGATTTGCTGTGGGGTCAGTCCATGTTGTGCCAGCTGCTTTGGGATCAAGTGCCTATGGGCAATCTCGATCTTCTCCTCCTGGGTGTACCCTGGAAAGCAAGAGATCCCGTGTTGTACGCATTCTCAAAGCTCCTATAACACCACGCCTTGTAAATAAACCAAATGAAGACTCAATGGATCCGGAAGCATCCCAGCATTTAAGGAGTCTTCAAAAACAAGACTGAAGGATGAGTTTCAAAACAATTGTTTCTAGAATTAAAACTGTAAATTTTAGCAGCAAAATAAGAACTAAAATTTTCCTATAAAAACCTTTGCTTTTACATTTTGGGTTGAAAAAAAAATATATTCTCACATATATTGAGATATTTAAAAGAGTTTATGTGCTTACTGATTTAATATTTTGAATAAGTGAAAATTCATTTTGTCTTTAAGCTCTTCAAGGTAAATTCTGCCTAGTGTTCCCTTTCCACTGTACAAGCAAAAATTAAAAATATGAATTGATATAATTTGGAATAAAAAATCAGGACAAAAAACCAGGAAAGCCAGAAAGCAGGACACCCAAATCAGCAGCTGTGTAGACTATTTTACTTCCATTACTGTATCTTAGGGGTTTTCTGCTTGATTTAGAGTTTCTAAGCAACTAAGTCTCATTACTTATATTAGTAAGTAATGCACACAACCAAAGTTTTACTCTGAACTGTATTTTAACACTGAATATAAGAACCTACAGGACTTGCAGATCATTGAGGAATATAACTCATTCACTAAATAAATAAGGCATTGAAGGTTAATACAAAAGTGCATTTATATGGTTTTAGATTCTCTTAATACATTTAGATTCTGCTCTATTTCATTTTAACAAATACCTACTGATATTCCACGTAATAGGACAAAAGAAAAAAACTAGCATTTATTGCAGTAAATAATAAAAGTATTTTGTAGACTTCAATGAGGACATGGTAAAGACAAATAATGTAACTATTATAAAGATTCAACTAAAAAGGCAGAGGAATTTAGAAGCACCATGCACTTTCATGTAAAATGTGTAATAAGGAAAGAGTCTAGCTATCCTTTGGGAGGTACTTCTTACTCAGAATCAGTGAAGACATGACATTTTCCTAGAGAGCTGGGGATCTCTCCACCTGAACTGCTGATCTCAGAACCCCAGTCATGAGGTACATTTCAAGTTCCATGGTCTGACCAGGGAGTGCACGTGCCAAAGCTGAGCCTCCTCAGAGGCTCAGACGGAACAGTGGACAGTATATCCAAGTGCACACGGAGGAAAAGGCCTGCAGAGGACACCTGGTACCACGACAGAGGACAGAGGACAGAACAAATCGCTCATCTGTCCCAGCCATGTGTTGGCACTGAGGATCTGGGCAAACGGAGACTCTAAGATGGACCATGTCCGCCAGTGGATTCTGGAGAGATTTCATCGTGGTTGGAATGGTGGGACTGGCAGCAATTCAGAACTGCTGAACTATCGAAACCACTTGAGCAGTGCCCTTGGAGCATGTCCCATGTTGGGGACCTTAGGATGGGTGGGAGGTCGGGTGACGCTTCTTCCTTTATCTCCCTCCTTATCCCAGATACACATACAAAAACATGTGGAAAAAAATGGTCTTACCCACCTTCCTATAACCCTTGATCCTTTTTGCTCTAACCAACAATTTGTAAAGATTATCGGAAACAAACAAACAAGCAAACAACCAACCAAAAACAAAAACAGCTTAGCCCTGGATAGGTAAGAAGCTAAGCTGAACATGGATCTCAAATTAATTACTGATGTTAATGTCTTACTGTGCCTAAATTATAAATTAAAATTTATTAAAGGTATGTGCAAATGGGAAAAAACACTCAACAGATCCCCATTACGACTCATTACTATCTGTGAGCTTAGTCAGCCACTGCCCCCCACCGCCCCGCCCATGCAGGGACACCAGGTAACAGGAGGGTGCTTGAATGGGCCAGTGAACTTCTACACTCAAACCCTCATAGCATGACCGATTCTAAGTTATGTATGCTCAGTGGGTGGGAAACTGGGTGGGGCTTCTCCCTCTGTTCCCCTTTACCTCAGATACATGAAGGAAACAATATGGAGATCATAGTCTTACCATCTTTCCTATAGCCCTTGGACCTTTTAACCGTAATTAACTATGTAAAGATAGACAAAAATATAATAAAAAAAGGAAAAAAAATTTTAAAAAAGTGTTATGCTCAGAAAGGCAAGATGCATCAAATAGCAGTTTTCTTTATAAGTCACGTACCTGGAACCTGAATGATCTCCATCCTGTCCAACAAAGCAGGTGGAATAGTAGCAGTGGTGTTGGCAGTGGCTATAAAAAGAACTTGAGAAAGATCAAAGGCCACGTTTAGATAATGATCTGTGAAGTTATGGTTTTGTTCAGGATCCAGTACCTGGAAGGAGAGGTGGGAGGAGCAGAAAAACAAACGTTTAAACAAAGTTAGCAGCTCCAACAGACAGCAGCATAGATTAAAACACACAAGATATTGTTATCAACCCTGACAGCATGGTTGAACTCAGCACAGTTCGTTACATGCTGGGATAACACTAAATGCTAGGATAATACCATTCTCTGCCTTTCTTGCACTCTAAATATATTTTTATAAAATGAAATATGTTCAAAGTCGAAAAACTGCTGAAAACACATAACAGTAAAAGAATCAAAAATCATATTTTAAGCAAAGATTTATTTATTTCAAAGGCAGAGTCACAAGCAGAGGGAGAGAGAGAGAGAGAGAGAGAGAGAAACTGTTGGTTTACTCCCCAAATGGCCACAAGGGTGGGGACTGGGCCAGGCTGAAGCCAGGAGCTTCATCGGGTCTCCCATGTGGGTGTAGGACCTACACAACCCGGCCATCTTTCCCTGCTTTCTCAGGAGCAAGGAGTTGGACTGGAAGCAGAACAACCACAGCTCAAAACAAAGCCCACATGGGATGCCAGCGTTGCAGATGGTGGCTGCATCTGCTGTACCACAGGGCTAACCACTCCCCCCCCCCAAAAATCATACTTTAAGGTTTGTTCTTACGTCTATTTATTTATGACTCCTACAGTGTCAATCTTATGAGTCCTGCAGAATGCATTTCCCTCCTGGCAACAGATCTTTCTTTCCTTTTTTTTTTTTTAAAGATTTATTTATTTTGGGCCCGGCGCGGTGGCACAGTGGTTAAGGTCCTCGCCTTGCACACCCGGATCCCATATGGGCACCGGTTCTAATCCCCGGTGGCCCCGCTTCCCATCCAGCTCCCTGCCTGTGGCCCGGGAAAGCAGTCGAGGACGGCCCAAAGCTTTGGGAACCTGCACCCGCGTGGGAGACCCGGAAGAGGCTCCTGGCTTCGGACCAGCATAGCATCGGCTGTTGCGCTCACTTGGGGAGTGAATCATCGGACGGAAGATCTTCCTCTCTGTCTCTCCTCTCTGTATATCCGCCTTTCCAATAAAAAATAAATAAATAAATAAATCTTTAAAAAAAAGAGATTTATTTATTTTTACTACAAAGTCAGATATTCAGACAGGAGAGAGAGAGAACGATCCTCTGTCTGATGATTCACTCCCCAAGTGAGCACAACGGCTGGAGCTGCCCCGATCTAAAACCAGGAACCAGGAGCTCCCCGGGTCTCCCACACAGGTGCAGGGTCCCAAGTCCTTGGGCTGTCCTTGACTGCTTTCCCAGGTCACAAGCTGGATGGGAACCGGGGCCACCAGGACTAGAACTGGTAGCTTCACAGGATCCTGGTGCATCCAAGGTGAGGACTTTAGCCGCTAGGCCACAACACCAGGCCCATCTTAACACTATGGGAGTACATGGTAAATGTGTACAGTGTTTTTAAATTGCTAGATTAGAAATTATTATGGTGCTATATTCTGATACACATAACAAACAACAAAGACTTAAAACACCTTAAAGCAAAATTCTTCTGATAATGAACACAATAAAATAACATCAATTCTTAATATTTTGATACATTATGCAAAATTTACAAATTAGATTCTTAAAATGCACCACTTAGATTAGATTCTTAAAATGCATAACCGAATTATTAAGAGACTATTATCTTCTTTAGGCTACTCTTCAAAGGTTTGCCAGGAGGCCTATGCAGAACATTCGATAAGCCTAAATAAGCCATCCAAGATCCTGCTACACGCTTTGAGCTACCCCACATACATTGCCACTTTCACCAACATCACAAGTAGGGCTGACACACGTTTCAAAATTAAAACACTACAATTTTACTAAATAACCAGCTTTTCCTTGTGTCTGATTCTTTTTTAAAAGTTATGTTTATTTTTTAAAAAAGAAATCCACAAGTTAGTCTTAAAGACTCTTTATAGGCAATCTTCAACTATATTACATATTCAATACTGTTAGAAACTCAGGGTTTGTCTAGCATATACTTTCTAGAAAACTCTAGTTTGAAATTTTCACAAGCTGTAACAGAATTTCAGTAAAAATGCATCTTTAAGTCACCAAAGAAAATCCTAATTATATTCATCACAACATAGGACTGGTTGTCTTATCTGATAGTGACAAAGATTCTCCCCTTTGACCAAAACCTCAGTGAAGCTCCTCTGCTCTACCAGGCCCAACTGCGGCTCTCCTCTCTGCACAAACTCAGTGAGGTTGCAGGTTACAATATCAACAGGTAAAAAGCAGTGGTATGTTTATAAATCAATAAAGAACCTGCAGAGAATGAAACTGTAAGAGCAATCTGATTCATAACAGCTTCAAAAATATTTCACATAAATTTTTTCATTTACTTTAAAGGCAGGATTATAGGAGGAGGCGAGAGAGGAAGAAAGGAAGGGAGAAGAGGGAAGGGGTAGAAATGAGAAAGGGGGAGGGGGAGAGAAGGCTGGGGGAGGAGGGGAAGAAGGAGGGCAGAGGAAAGGAGAAGGGAGTGAGGGGAACAGAGGAGCTCATCCATCAGTTTGCTGCTTTACTCTCCAAATGGCCAGGCCAGGCACAAGTCTGAAGCCCAGAGTGTCTTCTTGCAGGGACCTAAGCACTTGAATTGTTTTCCATTGATACTCCAGGGGCATTATCAAGGAGTTAGACCAGAAGTCCAAGAGCTGAGTCTCAAACCAGCACCCATATGGGATGCTAGCATGGTAGGTGGAGGCTTAACTGGCTATGCCACAATGTCACTCCCTTTGTATGAATTTAGCCAAGGATGTGAAAGATTTTCTACAAGACAATAATGCAAGAAACTAAAGACACACACACACAAAATGGAAGATCCTTTCATATTCATGCATTGAAACAGTATTATTTAAAATGTTCATATTATACACAGTGATTTACAAATTCAACAATTCCCATCAACACACCAGTGACATTCTTCACAGACTAGGGGAGGGACAAAAGACCTCAATTATTCAAAGCAATCTTGAGACAAAAGGTATGATCTTGTGAAAGGAAGCACCACAAAAAGCATCATCATATTATCTGACTGTAAGACACACATATTACAGAACTACTATAACCAAAGCAACTTGGAACTGACAACAACAACAACAAAAAACAAAAGAGAGATTCCAGAAATGAAGCCCTGCATCTACAGTCAACTGATTTTTGATAAAAGTATACATGGTAGAAAGGACAGTCTCTTCAAAAAATGGTGCTGGGAAAACCAGATAACCACATACAGAAGACTGAAACAAAATACTCAACTCCAGCCCCACGCAATAGCATAGTGGATAAAGTCCTTGCCTTGAACGCGCTGGGATCCCATATGGACTCCAGTTCTAATCCTGGTAGCCCCACTTCCCATCCAGCTCCCTGCTGTGGCCTGACAAAGCAGTCAAGAACAGCCCAAAGCATTGGGACCCGCATGGGAGACCTGGAAGAGGCTCCTGGCTCCTGCCTTCAGATGGGCTCAGCTCCAGCTGTTGCAGCTGTTTGGGGAATGAACCATCATTGGACGGAAGATCTTCCTCTCTGTCTCTCCTTCTCTCTGTATATCTGCTTTTCCAATAAAAATAAATAAATCTTAAAAAAAATCCATCTCCAACTTTGACCTTGTACCCTATAAACAAAATCAACTCAAAATGAATTAAAGACCTAAACATTAACACCTGAAACAACGAAACTCCTAGAAGAAAACATGGCGAAACACTGCAAGACATCACTATTGGCAAAAAAAAAAAATAATAATAATAATTCAGTTTTAGATAAGAACTCAAAAGCACAGGCAAGTTGGATTTATCAAACTAAGATGGCACTGTACAGCAAAGACACAACTTCTAGAATTGGAGAATACGTGTACAAATGATTCATTTGACAGATTAATGAATATGTAGGAGTATTCATTTATTACTGTTATTATTTAGGACATACCAAATTACTCAGGATATAGCAAAACTCAAAGATTCAACAACAAAAGCAATCCAGTTAAGAGGTGGGTGAAAAACCTGGATAGTACAAAGATGAAACATAAGTGGCCAACAAATAAAGAAATGTTGAATATTAGTGGCAAGAGAAATGTAGATCAAAACGACCATAAGACGTCATCTCACTCCAATTAAAATGGCTATTTATCAAAAGGACAAAAAAAAATAACAAACTGGTAAGGACATGGAGAAAGGGAACTTTTACCTTTGTTGGCTGAACATAAATCAGTACAGATATTATGGAGAACAATATGAAAGGTTCTGAGAAGAGTAAAGAGTTCCCCCATTTGATCCACTGATCACTCTCCAGGGTGTCTACCTAAGGAAGCAAAACCAATCTCTCAGACACCTGCACTCCGATGTTCACTGCAGCAGTAAAACGTTACCTGAGAAGTGGAATCAACCTATCACTGGATGAATGGATAAAGAAAATGTGCTATTTACACACAATGTAATATTATTAAGCTGTAAAGAATGAAATCCATGGGGCCAATGCATTGGTATATCAGGGTAATCCTCTGCCCATGGTGCTGGAATCCCTTTTGAGCACTGGTTTGTGTCCTGGCTGTTCCACCTTACAACCAGCTCCCTGCTTACAGCCTGGGAGAGCAGTAGTCAATGGCTCAAAGCCTTGGGACCCTGCAACCATGTGGGAGATCCAGCAGAAGCTTCTGGCTTCAGACTGGCTCAGCTCCCTCCAGCTGCTGCAGACTTTTGAGATATGGACCAGTACATGGAAGGACTCTCAGTATTCGCTCTCTGCAAATGTGTTTCAAATAAAAATAAATCTTAAAAAAAAAACAAAAAACCTGTAGAAGGACTATCTTCCAAGGCACAGCTCTAATAACCTTAAGAACCCTACACTGGCCGCACTTCTAAACAATACCATCCTAGGGATCACACATTAAAAAAAAGTCAACCTAAACTTAGCACAGTTGCTAGAAAAGAAGAAAGGTAGGTAGTGGGGGGAGATAGAGGGAGTTTGCGTAAGAGTTACCAAATCACA